TGTTACTACTAGTAAGGCACCTGTTACTACTAGTAAGGCACTTGTTACTACTAGTTCTCCCTACTAGTGAAATATCACGACCTGTCAGAAACCGAAATAATGTGCAAACAGGCTGGCGGGTGGGTGGCGCACCTGGACGGACGACAACTTCGACCAGGCGATCAGAAGACTTGAGCACGGTGGTTTACGAGTAAGAAGATGCAAGAAGACAGGAACGTCTGAGGACGATAGTATGTCGAGTGCTACTCTCTGGAAGACTCGAGGGTCAAAACTGTTGCAGATTGTGTTTCGAGTCTGTGGTCAGGAATTCATTATCACTTCTGTTTAGACCTTGATGGTGCTGGATCTGGCCGACTTTGGGCCGGTGATACTGGCTTTCAGGCGCGCCACACTGCTTCAGATCTTGTCCACTGGGCACCACCTGATTCTCGCCGCGATGTGGATCCGTTTCTCTAAGTCGATGTGTTTGACAAAGAATTAAGCTGTGTGCTTGCTTAGGGAGCTGTCTTGAGGAACACTGACAATCCGAGAGAAGTTTTGAATGGAAAGTCTGATTGTAGATTGACAATGGCAATGTCTTAAGTTGATAGAAAATTGTGCGCCAATTCAACCACCAAAACTTGCAAGAAGTTGGATGCCCTTGGGAGCACGCAAGGTGAATTGAGTCCTCACAAGTGAACTCACTTCTCAATGACAGCATAACGGGACTGAGATATGGACTTGGTCCCCAAATTGCAGGAATCATTTGACGCATGCATCATGTGGTCAAGAACTGCCTCAACAGGTCTATGCAAGTGGCATCATGTCACTCGCACCTGCTCAAGTACTGATTTCTGCGGTCGAGAGATTGCACTTCATGCCATGGACCCAGTGAAGGAGATGTCTCTCATCCCTCAACGCACACTTCACCACAATGCGCCTAGGTGTGCAGCTGGTGGGTGTCCGCAAGATGCCCTGTTTTGGTTGGTCCTGGGCTGTGCAAGAGACGAGACCAATCCCTTTGGTTCGATGGCGTTTCTTATTATAACTATGTTTGGATGGCAGTATTCAATGTTGATGTGACTTGTGTTTGTTTCCATTGTGTTGTTATTTTTGGACGTTTCCCGAATTGTAAAGCAACTCCAACGTGTGAGGCTCGACCAAACTGTGAGGATCAGACTGCTCGGGTTTCCGTTGTTTTGGTCTTAGTCCCGCCAGGTTTTGCAGGGGAGGCATTTTCCGGCGATGTTTTTCTCCAAGGTCAATGAATCCACAGGGATGATTGCAATCCTGGACACCACTTCCGTTCAGGCCTGGACATATTGTTTTTCCCCGAAAGCATTTGCGAAGGGTTCTCCGTTAAAGAACAGCTGCTAACTTCAACTGTCCAACCATCATCATCATCATCATCATCATCATCATCATCATAATGTGTCTATGTTTGAGGCCACCCTGTCGTCCAGATTTTCTTGGGCACAAAGTAAAGTAGTGTGCTTCCAATGATTTCGTGAACTGCGAATTCGCAAAGTGGAAGTCAGACAACTCAAGTAAGTCCGGTAAGCTGGCCTGAAACAAGGCTGGACAATGGTTGGAGCTGTGTAGCGATTTGGATGGAGAAGGTCCATTGCGGCAAGGCCACTGCCATACGGATGACAACAACATCATCAGGAAAAAAGAGCTAAATGTTTGACATTGTTTCGTGAAGATACATTGATGCTAAGGAGGCACTGGTCTTTTTGTTTACATTTCGGGCATTGCGGCTGTGGCGGACCCGTGGGTACAGCGATGGGCCTGGGATCACAGCTTTTGCGCACCGTTATGCAAGATCCTCCGTTGAGTCGAGTTTGGACAACGCTGAAAGCCTTCCCTTTTCAGACTCTGCAAAGGTGGGCAGCCTTTATCTTGATTGTGCAAGATCTCCTTGCACGGCAGAGGCTGTTGGCCTCAACGCTGTGACCAAGTGTGGTTGTTTTTTGTTCCTAACCCATCAAACTAGAGGAGAATCCGTCGGTTCTTTAAAGAGAAAGTCAAATTGGACAATTTCAGAATAAATTATGGTTGAGACACCAACCAGGCAACCTGACTCTGCACTGGTCAGGATTCGGCAAAGCACTCACTTGTCGACTGGTGTCATTTAGATATGTGTGTATACACACACACATATATATATATATTTCATGATGCGTCGACTTGTGTCGTGTGTGTGTGTGTGTTGTTTCAAGTTTCACCAGCCGCAGGCCTTCCTAGCCTTGGAGTGTGCAAGCCATTCAGGGCAGGCTCGAGACAGGATCCACGAGGAACTTGCATAAGTTGCTTGAATTCATTAGTTTTGCTAAGGATGTTCCACTAGCTACCACTCAATCCTTGAAGGTTTCGTTTGACAAAGTGACGTCTTTTGGAAGGCCTTGGCAAGCGCAGTAGCTCAACTTCAAGACGCAGATCAAGCACAGGACCCACAGGACGCAGCTGTCCAGGCACAGGATGCATTGCAGCATGTTCCAGATGATGCGTTCTCTTAGCAGATGCATTTCATTTTGCATTTATAATAGGTACTTTTCACTTCACCTTTTTGACATGAAACAGCTTAGCGCAGCATCCTGTGGGCAGCTTCTCTTAGGGCGACAAGAGTGATGGCACAGAAAGGAGACAAGTGGCAGCGCTCCTAGGAAGAGAACATTGGACGCATTGTATAGACAGACGTGTCAAAACAAACGTTAGGACTTTCAACCTCCACATGTTGAGGTGTTTGACTTGCAGAATATTGTCTCCGGCATACACTACAGGTGAGTGCACGGCAGTGATTTAGCCTGGAATAGACAGAGTGAAGTTCAGTCACGATACGTCAAGACGACATAGATGCATTATTGTTCCTAGTAGCGAACATTGTTACTACTAGTAAGGCACTTGTTACTAGTAGCGATGCACTTGTTCCTAGTAGCTTCTTGTTACTAGTAGTAAGGCACTTGTTTCTACTAGCGTGGCACTTGTAATTGATTCCATTTGATTCCTCTTTGGAGGCTTTGCACCGACTTTGACGGATCAGGCAGTAGGGGCGGGCCTTGCAGGGCCGCTGGATGCACATTCTGGTGGCCCTTAGTAGCTTCCTGTTCCTAGTAGCAAGGCCAGGAGCCCCTAGTACCGTCTTTGCTCCTTGTAAAAGGATGTCAAGTTGCTGAACTCCGCTAGAACCAAAGTCTAAGCCATTTGTGCGAGGACGGGCTCCTGGCCTTACTACAAGCAACAAAGCTATTAGGAACAAAGGGCATCGCTACTAGGAGCAAGGATGCCATTAGGTTGGAGGCCATTGCCATTACTGTGACCCCTCCAGCGCCCCGACATTCGCTATTGCCAAAGCAAGACCGATTCTTGAAAGGTCAACCCACCGCATGTTCGCCTGAAACATGTTAATCAGAACAACAAGCTTGCCGCTTGCGCCTGCCACGAAGAAACTTCAATTATCGGGAAGCTTCCGCCATGAAGACTGGTGCCTTTCATTTGGATGGTTCACTCAACAATTCTTGTGATTCGTTTTTCATTCGGAGCCACGCCGCCAAAGCACCCAAGCGCTTGTGGTCTTTTCGAAAAACAAGCCATAACAAGCTGTAACGAACTCTGAAACTCGGAGATCAAGGCTTCTTCCGAAAGATTGGAGCATGGTCTCTTCATCTTCACCTGGCAATTCCCTTCATGTCCTTCATTCTTCCATTGTCATTTTCGTGTCATGTCCTTCCAACTTCTGTTGTCCTTCATTCAAAACCCTTTCTACTGCCTTGCCGCCGTTCATTTTCTGCTTTCTCTGGTTGCCTGCTCCTTTGGTTGCCCTGCTCCTGTACTCCGTTTCATGTCGCGTTCTTCACATCCTATCAGTTCACTGTTTGCAATGTCCTTGACAGGCCTTTCATTTTCCTTTCATTGCGCACAGGGAATTGTGGTTTTATCAACTTGTTTATTGGTTTGATCCCCTTGAATTATTGCTTTTGACACTGATTTGTTTTACTGTTGGAGCCCTCACCAGGTTCCAGAACCTCATTTGTTTACCGATTCTGTGCACTTTGCTGCGGTCAGATGCAATGCAAGTTAAACAGTTTGAGGCTAAGAGTCAGATCTGGAAGTGTTGAGGCTGCGTCGCAATGCTTCGAAGAATTCAGCACATGTTCAGTTCGATTTTGAGATGTTGTTTGCTTTCAATTTAGGCTATCAATTTGCTTCCCCTTGACCCAAGCGAGTCCTTAAACAGATGCGCATAAAGCACTGCTAACAGCCAATGGATTTAAGGGGAAGGATAGGTCCCAGGGACAGGTATGTTGTTGATATAAGCGATTATGTGGAGGCCCTACTAGGGTGGAGGCCGCTGTCCACTATGAAATTATGTCATCGGCCGACCGATCACGGAGGCCCAATGATCAGTTTTTTCTCTGGTTTCACGGTGTATGTGACTAGCGTGCGCCAGCTTCTCAGGATTCAAGTTCATCCAGTTTTGCTGGAGAAAACTTCAAGTAAAAAGAAGTCAATCCAAACAACTCCACATATTTATGATGATTCCTCAAGAAGTCGTTCATAATTATATAGTGGCTGTAGATGCTGGTGTGTTTCTTCGGGTGATGCACACTTGCAAATTCATGAAACTGATTGTGTTTGTTCGAGACATATCACCAAAACATTCTCAGGAAAAGCTACGCCTGACCTTGTCGTCAAGCGTCAGGTGCACAAGTCCGGAGGAATTTTTCAGTTGCTTTCAATAAGTGTAAGCTCAGGCTTGCGCACATAAAAGCCTCTTCTGCCTGATCTAAGTCATTTTGCTGACTCAACCGAATCGAAGGCTAATCAGCACTTGCTCTTGGACTGTGATCCGAGTGGATGTCCTGCAGCTGCTGAGGCAGGTTTGAACACTTGAGCTGAATTTGCGATGGAAGACTACAGGATCAAACAGGATGGATTTGGGTTTACTGGTACATGTTGCAGCACATGTAACACGTTGTGTGAACGTTTGCTGAAGCGGAACCTGGTCTGAAGCGGTTGAAGGCCTTTGCAGCCGACAATTGCAGCATTGTTCCTCCAGTATATCAGAGGCATGTGAATGCACCGGAATGCGTATGAAGATTGAAAGGGTAAGGGTAAAAGTAGCTGGCTAAAGGGTGCACTCAAAGTCTGCCAGGCTTACAGAATATGGTGCCAGAAGGCTGGGTGATGGGAGGGTGAATCACACAGATTTGTTCTAAGAAGAACCAATAGCACTAAACCACCTGAGATAGCCTCCAACCTACTAGCAGCTTACTAGCACGATGTACACATTGAGACTTCGAACGTCGAAGCTGTTTGGAGGATTGCCACTGTGGACGCCTCAGCCTTCACCTCCAGGCACAGCACTAAGCGACAAGCATTGACAGGTGTACACCAAAACTGGCGGGTCTCAATTGTATTCAGAAAGGATCTGCCGTTCGAACTGGCTTATAATTTTCTACTCCGATGTCGATGTCATACAGAATACAAGTGAACTGGGATCAGTCTCACAGTGCAGCAGGTGGTATCGCCTGTGCATGGATGAAGATGGCCAGGCTCAGTATTTGATACAAAATATCCCAAACACTAGTAGCAAGAAGCTACTAGGTGAGGCCATTACTACTAGTAACAAGAAGCTACTAGGAACAAGGCATCTTACTAGTAGCTATTCAGCGTCCCTGCAACATTGCAGGCGTCTTCTGCACTGCAAGCTGGGCCTGTTGGAAATGTCTTTGTAAGTCCTGTGAGTAACGACCTCACGAACCGCAATGTGAAGAACTTCTCCTCGCAGCTCTCAGCTTTGAGGTGGCATTTCTCCCGATACTCTCCCTGCTGGGAGCCAAGCTAGCAAGAAACCTGTCTATGTTCTGCTAATCAGACATCCAGTAAATAGATTTACCAAAATCTTTCTACGTGTAATTGTGTGTCCGTTTTTGCCTGTGTAACATTGTTCTTCCGTCTTTGGCAGGCAGGTGGTGAGAATGCATTGACGCTTGAATGCGAGACCTGCAGTGACCAGGTTCGAGCAGCCAGGCAGCACTCAAAGACAACTATGCTTGTGGGCTGACATGCAAAATGAGCTGCCAATAGAAAAACTATTTGTCGGGGCCCATCAAAACACATGGGGGACCCCCATACTGAACAATTCCGTCGACTTGTTTAATAAGGTGTGCCCAAAATAGAGGGACTCCCAAGATGGGAACGGAAGAGTTTCAAAACCGACAAGGCGCCTATGGCAATTTTATATATAAATGTTCTTTTGACTCGATTGAAAAAGACTCCCAAGAGCCTTTTTGTGAAGCTAGTGATTCTTCGATATTCTTCGCTTGTCAAGTTTCCCTCGGACTGACAAAGATTGCTTTGGAGCCTTTTGATAGTGAACATGAAAGGTGGTATGTAAAAATTGGGGTTTCCAACATTGACTTTTTAATCGGGCTACTAGGAGCAAGAAGCTACTAGGAACAAGGGCATCGCTACTACTAGGAGCATTCTTACTACTAGGAGCAATGCATTTTGGCCTGAAAAGAATCTTCAGACCCCCATCGCCCCTGAGAATCCATCGCGTTGGAAGCAAGCTCGATGCATCGCCCCAAGGTGTTCCTAGCTTCAAGCTGCAGTCAAAATGCAGACTCCTCAGGAATGAAAGCAATTGAACAGTGAAGAATAGTAGATGCGTAGATAAAAAGATATGAGTTGATGGGCAAGAAACAAGATGTCGTAGCGATGGCCTCCAACCTAGAAGCAATGGCAAAGCAGTTGATGAAAAGCTGCACAAATCTCAAGGCGTCAGATTCCCGTGCGCTTTTCAATGACGGTGCGGCATGGACAGCTGTGTTTGCTGCTTAAATGTTGACCCAGGATGACCCATGTGAATTTACGGGAGAGAGTCCCAATCAGACTGTCCCAAGGCTGGACACATTTCTTGAGCCTGGTTATTTCTACCAGCTTTGTGCATGGAGCTCAAGGTCTTCAAGCAGTTGTCCGTTTCCGTCGGTAAGTTTTTTGTCGCTGAGTACGATGCTTCAATTGAAAACATTGCTTAATTGCCTTATGCCTCACGAATTAGCTTTCTAGGTGTGAAAAGGACATCGCCAGGAACTTCACAAGCAGCCCTGCAAGTTTCGCATCGTGAGGTAATTGTGGAGAATGTGACTGGACCAAGCGGCGAAGCTGTTTTCTTGTTACCGAACGTCACTGTGCAGGAGGAATGGGAAGCTGAAACAATGTTCACACAAACATGAGTCGTTTTGATTCTGATTGCGTCAAGCCATGCTGTGCCTCAAATCAATACATCAGGAAGCTATTTCAGGCACAGCACAACTCAGCTTGGCACTCATGAGAAACGCAGAACCAAGATCAAGCACTAACAATGTTCGCTACTAGGAACAAGTGCCACGCTAGTAGTAACAGG